AAAAACAAAATAGAAAATAAATAAAATTGAAGGGTATAAATGAAAACAAAACAAAATAAATAATAAATAAAATTGCAGGGTAATTTGGTAATTCAAAGAAGTGCCACGTGTCAAGTTCTAGAATGCTCATATTTTTTTCTTATATAAAAATTCTATGGAGTCATACACTACTTAATGTATCTGTCCAAATTGTATTTATTGCAGGACACATGTCAATACACTATTGTTGAATAAGTGTAGATGGCTCCATAAGTTGAGTCATCCGATGACTTCATAGCAAGACATGTCCTTATTTATTTTTATTTTATGAATGCATTAGAATGATTCCAAAGTAATAGAACGACTTTTATATGTCAATAAAATTGAGGACAAAACATTTTAGGTGGACACCATAGACATAAAATAAACTAATGTAGCTTGAAAACACCTTAAAGTTGATAACAAATTTTGTCAATCCACACGAATATTAATCACATTACGGGTTAGTTTGTGGATAAAATGATCGCGTACTGAATATTAAAAAGAATGGTGTAATGTCACTTATGTTTAACTATGTCTATGTAACACTCCCATTTTTAAGCATACAATGAACTTAAAATCATTTTCTCAGTGGCACTAGTTTATAGAGTGATGTGGTGACTGTGGTCAATCACAATAAAAGGACGAAACCTTTGAAAAATAAACAGACACAACAAAACCACTTTGTAGAACATTCAAATATAACAAAATAGGTTTAGCCATGTACTTTCGCTATTGATGTACGGAGTACGGTGTTTATCATACAAAGACCCTGTAATTTTGCCACTCATAATCAATCATTTTTAGTTTAATGAATGACAAATTCGGAACATCGCTTCCAATTTACTTCTACTAGTCTTTTTTTTTTTCACCGATTCAATTTACTTCTATTAGTCACCACAATTGTAATTCATACATCAAGAAAAAACTATGTGGGACTCTGGTTTTATTTGATCATAATCTACACATTGATTGGACGTAGAAATAAAAAGATGTTGACAATCGATTTCGCTGACTCTTGCTGGATGCTTTGAGAACGTCAACTCACAGGCATATAAAAATTTTCACAAGTTATAGAAGTATCAAGAATTGATAAAATTCTATTTCTGAAAAGCTCATTCTATTATGAGGGATACATGGAAAAGGATCAATATTTCATGTGGTTAAAGGCCTCTCTCTCTCTCTCTCTCTCTCTCTTTTTTTCACGAGCATAGTGCATTACAAGTCCAGTAAAATATTGATGCAAGTCGCATACAAACCAACTAGATCAGATTCTATACAAGAGTCTACCACGAGCAAAATTGGGGTCTGCTGATTACACCTAGAAAAACTGGGAACAAATACAGGAATTAATTAGTCAAAACTATGATTTACTGAAAATAAATAGATGGGATATTGGATACTTTACCTTTACTGTGACGGGGAGGTACTGAACTTTCTCGACATTCCTGGTCACGAGTTTTCTAGCAAGATAAACTTTCATCAGCCATCAATCAACATGAAAATTTCCTAATTTCGGGGAAAAAAATGTCTGTTATTTCAGAGAGCCGTTTGAGTTTTCACGCAGTAATTATCCAAGTGAATCTAAGCTGAAATTTGGCTTTACAATTATTTGACACTTCTGACTTGCAACAAGTGTCCAACATCTGAAGCATTCATCTTCATCTTTTCGGAAGCTTCCTTCTCCGCCTTCTTCCTCTCAAACTCCAGCTGTTTGCAGCTCTCTTCTTGGGCTTTCTTAAACATCCTCACAAAGTTGAACAAAGTTGAGATCACTGCAAACATTTTGTATCAAAATGTTTTTAAAACCTCATCTCAAATCACGGGAAAAAGAAAGAAATGACAGACAACAGTCCTCACACTACACTTTAGCTTTTTACTATTCCCCGGTCGCACAATCATATGAATGCCACAAGTAAACAGTGAAGGAAACTAAAAACTACCTTGCTCGAACGGACAACGAGCTGGGTCCTCACCAAAATAAAGGATCAGTGAGTCTACATTTCGTCCCTGCATAACAATATTGTTAGATAGTCTCATTAAGTGACCGTGCTTCGGGAATATAATACGCAAAAATGCATTTTTAGTCCTGTTGGTTTAATGCCATAGCAATTTTAGTCCCAATGTTCTAACTTTTCACCTTTTGATCTTATGATTTAATATTTTGCTGCAATTTTTAATGACTGAAATTGCAACTAAATTTTAAATTACACGACTGAAATTGCAACAAACTTTTATATTATAGGAATTAAATTGCTAATAAAAATCTATAAATTTGGGAATTTGAGAACTAAAATTGCAGCAAAATATTAAATAACAAGACCAAAAGGCGAAATGTTAGAATCTTAGGACAAAAACTGCTATGATGTTAATACTTTATTAGATAATAAAGTTGAGACTAAAATATATCTAAATAAAAATTTTTAATAAGTAAATTATTAGACTTATGAAAATTACGGTTGATAATTGTTATTTATTATTATTTACTCATCATAGATAAATTATAATTATTATATAATGATAATCTGTTAAAATAATTATTATAAATAATAAACAATAAAGGGCAAGTCCTTGACTCTATTCCCGATTCGATGGCCGGGCAAGCGGCAGGACTAAAAGTGCAATTTAGCCAATATAATATAATAATATTCATTGATTCCCTAAGCTGATCCTAAAGGCAACTAATACATACCACTCCAGCATAAAGTGAAGCCAAGCACCTCACTTCACCTTCCGAAAAACAAAGGAATTCTTTCAAAGCCTGTAATTAAACTCTGTTATAATAAGAATCTTAAACAAGCACAAAAAATAAACAAGTATACTGACATCAGCTTAGTAACTGCTCTCTTTCTGTAAGCCTGTTGATATTCTTTGTAAATGGGTACTTATATGTAAACCCAACACACCCACGCACACAATGAAAAAGAACAAGAATAAAAAGTAGAGAAAGAGGAACACTTGACAGCGAGTCCCCACTAGATGGAATCTCCTTAATAAGAATAATAAGATACTGAAATAGATACAAAAACACTTGAGAGCTTCACACACTAAGAAATTCCTTAAAGTAAAGAAACAAGTAACCAAAATAAGTACAATGCACTATACTTAAGTTTTAAATCAGACAGGGTCAGATGTTTGCCCAAAAATGCAAAGAGACACAAATAATATCATGTGCATTCAAGCAAGCACAATAATTCGATAGCATCCAGAAACTATCTTCCGGAAATGGTCTGACACGGGTCCATCACTTTCAGACATGGACAACTCCTGCATGACCTTTTCAAGCCCTTTATTAATCGCTTGCATTTCCTCAGCCAAATATTTCAGTTGAATCTGAAAGAATTTCTCTTGGTCAAGTTAATATTTAGTTTTACTTTCCAAAAATACCCTCTACGTTAATGATTCTTAGTTTTTACGACTTCATTTTATTGGTAACCATATAAATTAAGGGAAAACCGAAATTAACATTTTAAATACTTCGTTCAAAGTAACAAGCTTATCTTTGTGGGTCACTCGAGATAGTAATGCGGCTCCTATTTATGGGACAGATGGAATGCAAATAAAGAAATGCACCTTGATGCAGGTTCCAAGCTAGACAGATCTTTCCAAAAATCAAGAAGCTCGAGCAATTTATCTGAAAGCACACGGGGTGAAAGACAAACAAGGAGAAGAAGAGTTCAGAAAATACTTCATGCATAAAGTATTTTCTGAACCAGGACCAAGATTTAAGAAAAATGCTATAGGTACATGATCATGTACATAGAGGTGTACATAACACTCACATGGAGTGTCCTACCAAAAATAAAAAATCAAGTGGACCCTACTCCATGTGAGTGTTATGTACACCTCTATGCTGAAGTTTAATCAATTAGACAGACTAATAATCCATCCAATGAAGCTAAGTTGTATTCATAATTGTTATCCTTTCGCAGTGTAACAAGTTACTGAAGTTTTACAATCACCACAATCATGCTGCATCTTATTCAGTGATTTGAGGTGACAAGATAAGATAAAGACGGAAGGAGAAGAGAGGGGAATTATACATTAGGTATTGGTATTGATAGAATCCATAAGCAACCGCTATAAATTGAGGTTCCGTACATGTGACACGGGAGAAAACCAGTATTTGCAGTTTCTTCAAGTTCAGATCACATATGGTATAGATAACCTAATCTTAGCAAGTTTATATTTGTTGCAAAGAATATCCCTAAAATTACAATGTATTGTCTGTCATAGATTTCATTCAAAATTGCAACCAGTGACTCAGTTTCCAATTCTACACTGCAAACCAGTGGGAAAAAACCCTTTGCCAGGATTTTAAGCCAGGAAACATATAATACCTATTTTAACTTAAAATGCAATGGGATCTTTTATATAATAAATTATGATATTACATACAACAACAACAACATACCCAGTATATTCCCAACAGTTTGGGGTCTGGGGTCCAATTTCTGGCGTCCAAACTGTTCGGCAGAAATTGGACGCAAAAGATATGAATACCTACCTTACAAAGATAATGCATCAGTGTCATCTTGTTGTTGCGGGAACGAGTTTCGGTAAGTTTGAGGAGACTATCCAACCTGAACCCAATGGCAGAGCCTGCCACAATAGATTAGGAGAGTAAGACTCTGGGCAGCAGTAACATACATCCAAATAAAGAGAAAAAACTGAAAGTTCACAACATTATTATCAGGTGGCTTGGTATTAAGAAATGTTATTTCTTACACACAAAGGTTAAGAAAATGTATGTGTTGGAATATCACTCGAGTTGTCCCACATTGATTAAGTAGGGAAATTGGGATTAGGTTACAAGCCTAGTGAGCTACTCACCCCTACACCAAACCAATGGAACCTCACTAAGGTGACAACTATGCTTGCCCTCTTATGGTGCGCTTCATCCCTATGGGACCACACCCCTTCCCCCAAATATATAAAAATCTAAAAGTATGAATTACTAATATTAGTTTAGAATGCCCAAATAAAATGGATTGTAGATTGTTGTAAATACTTACATAGGTTTTCAAATTAAGAATTGGAAAGAAGACAAGAGAAGCTTTAATTATTTCTTTACCTTCTCGCTGTTCCTTTATTATGTTGTAAATCCGAAAAGGATTCACAAAATTGAGATGAAAAATTTGGAATTAATCTCTGTAATAGGTGATGATGATTTAATTGCAGACACTTCACATATTTAAATAGAAATAATGATGCCAACAAGCTTTACCATGTTGGCTGCACATAATAAGCATGAAATTCAAAGATAAATTTCACGCTTGATTTATAACTTGGTCAAACATTTTATTTTGCTTGAACTTGATACTAATGAAAACCAAAATAATTAGGAACATAAAAAGGGAAGACTGGAGAACATGATGTCAAAATGGCACAAGAAAAATTTAATTAACCTCTTGCAGTTCCCTGGTTCAAAGCATTACCCAGAGAAAGGATTGTTTGCATAATTCTTTTCAATTTTGCAGAACCCCTGATCTGATGAGAACATGATAGAAAAGATGAATATTATATCAAACTTTATGGGTGTTAGAATAGTCATAAATAACAAACAGAAAAAGCAAGTTGCCTGATCTGCAGCAGAATTGACAACATTCAGGCTCTTTCTGAGGTCAGACACCTGAAAGAAGACAGAAGGATGACATTTTCTTACTAATATACATAATAAGATTTGGAAAATGGTGAAGTCATATAGTAAATTCTAACCTGGGAGTGAAACTGAATCTTAAATGAGAAAACCCTCAACTTATATTCTATCCATGGCACTTGCATCAACTCCAGAAAGAACTGAGATAAAAACAAGAGTCATGTCTTTTAACAACAAAGTAACCTGTCTCGAAATATTGCCATCAGGATTAAACAAATGGTCAACCAAATCAAGACAAAGTTTACGTGCCTGTTCACACTTTCCTAACTTATCTTTCTCTCCTTTATAACCCTGGAAACAAAAATAGTTAGTTAGATGTCAAAATGATATTTTTCGTGTTTTTCACTATAGAAATGAACACAACGTTTAAAAATAATACGTTTTAGTTGTCTTAGTGCGTAAAGAACAACGCACCTTAAGAAGGTCCATCTCCTCTTTTGTAGGACAAAACTTGATAAGGTTGTCAACTTGATCAACATCTAATGCAGTGTCTTCCAAAGCAAGGACTGAACTCTGTCAAAGTACCACAAAATTACACTACAAGGATTAAAACCAAACGATACTAAGAATAATATCTCCAGGAGGATTAATTTATAAAAAAACGAGCATTATGTAAGCAGAATCAGATACATTAAATAATTAACAAAAAGTCATGAGTAAAATTGTCACAGGAACATTAATTATCATGCCTGACACTTTCAACAATAATCATCTATGGCCCCCCTTGAAAGAATGCTAAAATAACTAACAACATATAGTTGAGCTCACCAACATGTCACTCAACGGTATCTTTACTTTTGAAAGCATGATTTCACAATTGTATGCACGCCTGTGGTCTATCTGAAAAGAGAGAGAATAAATGATGTAAGTATCAGTGTCAGTGACATCACAAGAAACCATACCTCTATGGTACAAAATAAAAAGAATTAACACAGAAATTAGGGATACAGATACATGAAATGTGTCATCCATCATAAAGAGAAGCTCATTTACAAGCTTTTTTTTTTAAAAAAAAAAGAGGATCAATAGTGGTTCCCCAATTACCCCCTTGGGTGACTCGAACTCGCGACCTATTGGTCCGAAGTGAAGGGTGCTACCAACTGAGATACCCCTTCTCATCAGCTCATGTACAAGCTTATATATGACACATCGCACAAGGAAAAATAGGCCATTTGCCTGTACTATTTTCTCTGAAGTTATAACTGCCGACTGAAATTTCACCGCACAACACTTTCTATTTACATTCAACATAAAATTCCAAGTTCTGTTGTGGCTTCTATGCATATATTGATAGTTATATGAGGCATGCAACAATAAGAAGTGTTTTGTACTGAGGCAGAATAAGTTACACTTGTTGGGTTTTTTACCCTTCAATTCTGAGGGAATAAGATGTGGAAAAGACATGAAGGAAAAAACAATGAACAAAATCACGGGCTTGTGTACAAGATTTTATGTTAAGAAGCACATGGATCTCATTGGCTACACTGAGTTGCATCAAGATGTAATATAATGTAAAACCAAACAGTTGAATGATATTTATTAGGTCTATATTATTTTAGTAGAACAAAAAATTTTGCTCCCAACTACACACCAATGAGATGGAAACATCGTAAAAAAGAGGAGAATTTAGCGCCTGAGCACACACTATGTGAAGAAAAAATCCAATAAATAATAGAAGGAAAAAAATTAAAAGATCCTAGAAAAAGCGGATCGAGGTATTGAGGGGTACTGTAATACAAGTACATTTTCAGACAATGATTATGCTATGACCACTAAGTAAGAAATTCAAAACTCATTACTACACAAATGCTGTCTGTGGATACATGTACGATGATATAAAGAAATGGAATGCGCAAGAATTTACCAGTTGCACTTTTTTCAGGTTTACCCAATGAGCCTAGTGTACCAGTTTTTCTGCCTGAACCCCCTTGATCTGAATTTGGAACAGCAGCAGAGAATAGAGATTCAAGTTCTGAAATATCAATCTCCGGTGCCCTAAAAGGGAAAAAAAGAGATATACAAATAAGAAGTTCTACAAATAAAAAAAGGATATGCAAAATTAGATTGCTTCATTCACCCAATTGATCAATACTTACCTAGAAGCTTCAGATTTTTGCGTCTCTGCCCACAAGCTGCCAGAAACTGCTCTTGATAGTTTTAACGAATGTAACGGCTTCAGTTTCTTCGATTGACTCCATGAAGTCTGAGTACGAGACAATAAACTTTTCCCTGCGGCTCCAAGTGGAGGAGTTGAAGGCGGAGGAGGAGATGGAGATCCAGGCATACTAGTACATTTGTTGCTACTAGACGGAACAGAATTTGACAAACTAGCTGGCTCTCTGGGGGAAAGGAGTGGAGGCGGAGGAGCAAAAGGAACAGATGGAAGACCACTCATGCTGAGGCTAGGGTTAGGAGGCGGAGGTGGTGGAGGTAAAATTACTGAATTTGTAGGTCCTGCACTCTGGCTAGAATGTGGAGGAGGGGGAGGAGGAGGAAGAGGAGGCCCACCTGCTACAGACACTTCTCTAAAAGGCATTGGAGGAGAAGGTGGTGGTGGGCACGGAGCAGGTTTCGCGTTCAAACTAATCTTCAAAGGTGTTGCTCGGGGAGAAGCAGCCAGCCCAGAAGGTGGAGAAGAGAGCTCTTCTCCACTAGACCTCTCCTTGGGTGTCTCTAGAGGAGGTGGAGGTGGAGGTGGAGGTGTAGGTGGAGCAGGTATGGCCTTAGGTGGAGTCAAAGGCGGGGCAACCAGTCCAAAACTTGGAGGAGGTGGAGGTGCGGGTGGTGCAGGTCTGGGGACGGAATTATCTCTCAAAGGAGGGGTCAAAGGAGGTGGAGGTATAACTCCAGAAGCAGAGTGCTTCTCCAAATGGGGTTCCGATGGAGCTGGACCACAAGGTGATGGAGGTACTATAGATGGGGGTGCACCTCTGAGAGATGAAGGCTCATTAGGCGGTTCAAAAGGAGGTGGAGGCAGAAGCGGAGGCGGAGGAGGAGGTGAAGGTCTCTTAGCCGAGCTTTCTGACAAGCATGAGTCAAATGTAGCAGGAGGCGGAGTCGAACTTCAGAATCTAAGATCTTGTTCAAATGAGAGGCTGGCGTAACGAAAGGTCCAACTGGAATAGGAGCAGATGAATCGGTTAAAATTTCCTGAATCAGAGTCGCATAAGGTGGGGTAGGAGGCGGGGGAGGATGAGGCACAGTTTTACGAGTGATGTCTGTTTCGATAGAGGAAATATGGGGGGGTGATTGGCGTCCAGTACCTTCAATAACATTTAGGAAAGGTGACTTAGTTTTTGTGGAAGAAGGAGATTCGGATGTAGCAGTATGTGGAGATAGAAGTGGTGGAAGGGGAGGAGGCGGTGGGGAAGTGGCAACTTTGGCGGCTCCAACAACATCTTCAGTTGAATGAGGGGAGTCGAGTTGAGATAGCCTAACCCTCACGAATTTCTTATGGGATATTCTAGGAGAGACAACTGCAGAGTCCTCTTTCAGAGAAGTTGCCTCCAGTGTAAATGGATGTTTTCTATTGCCAATATCAGCAATTTTTGCTGGAGGAAGTGCGGGAGTTGAGGGAGAAGTTCTAGAATGTGATGTGTCAGCTTTACTTTGTTGAGCAATGGAGTTGGACTGTGAAATTGAAAGTTGATGAGGTAGCAAAGATGATGGGAGTGAAGAAAGATCTGCCGAAGGAATAAGGGTTTGCTTTTGAGATGGGATAGTCACATTTTGGGAGTGGAGATCATCCTGCTTTCTCTCCATATCTGCACTTGCGGACATTTCCGGCAAGAAATTAGAACGGTTGTCTGAAGGCAGATCTGGTGTGCTCTTAGCAACGGTTTTAACACCTAGTGCAGCTAGGCTCTGGTTCACCTGATATGTTTCAGTTTGAGAATAAGCTTCAACAGACATCTGTTGGAGAACTTCAACAATGGCATCGCCCTTTGGGACTAACCAATCAACACTATTAAAAAATTCTTGAACTTTAGCAAATGCCTCGACAGGAAGGCCATCTTTCTCTTCGAAGTAGGAAGAGTCCACAAGGGTTACAGAGGAAACAGAATCCATCTCCGAGAAAAGAACCTTCATTCACATAACAGTTTTAGTTAGTATAGCTGAGCCATCGATGAACTGAGAAAACAACAATGTGCAATTTATCAAAGATGTCAGAGAGCCATACCTCTGCCCTGAAGTCCTTGGGAAATAGATCCTTCGCATCCCACGATATGTCGATTTCATCTCGATTGAGCATTAAAATATTTGACCTGATAAAAGCTGTGTTAAACATGGCCCGGAACATCATGACTTCCCAATCTTTGTCACCAAGCAAGCAGATACATTCCAGTACAACATCACCTTGAATGTGGCAATCAATATCAATCTTTACCAATTCACATTCTGCCACAAACAAAATAAATGTGGGAAGGAACACTGTTATTACCAACATCATTGATATGAAGTATGTATATACAAAATCTCATATTGAATTAATAAAATAAGACGCCGTAGAACTTATGGTTGCAAAAGTTGTGGAGCAGGAGGAGAGAAAGGATGGAGTCACATAGGAGACGGGGTTGGGGAGCGCTCACCAATATGTGTTTAGAAGAAAACATGTAAAATATGAGATCAAAATGTTGCTTCTCTAGAAAAGGAACACCAATTTTAGTGGAAATCAAAAGATTAAACCTTAAGCTTAGTTGATTTGATCCTCATAGCTAAAGAAACTATTTTGATATTTTACCTTTTCACCCCCATGAAGATCAATAATTGTTTTCTACATTGAAACGTTTGTTCTGCATTTATTTTTGTTCAAATAGTAGGAATTTAATGAGTTTATCATGCAGCAAGCATAGCAGCGGTTTAGCTATCATTTCTGACTATACTACGGGATAATATCAATCCCAAAACTATTAGCATCAGAAAAGGCCTTTGGACAACTTGATCTCTATTCACAAATAGAATTGTGAAAAGACCAAATAGTTTTGAGCTTTCGTAAGAGCATACAGTAGATAATATCACATCCAGAACATTTTGAAGCAGATTAGACAGGAAAATGTGTATTCCCGACCAGATATGACCCATGCTAACATACTAAAATGCATAGGCTCTGCAATTGGAAATAAAAATATTTTTGGTCTTGTCTTGCCGGATATTTTTTTGAGATTGAACTCAAAATCCAATCTTCATCTAACCCAACTTAACTCTCCCCAGATCAACATAAATAAATAATAAAAACCAATCATTACACACAATAACAAAATTCACTATTCATCCACTGACATATTTTTACTACCAATCGTTAACAATCATTATTTTACTATTTTTATATCATATCAATCATTACATTTTAACTCATATCCACTCACAAACTCAAAAGCAAATCCAAATATCCACCCAATCAATTTTTTTCAATTTTAACTCACTTTATCCAATAAATCAAATCCACTCCAGAAAAACTTATTCCCACACTATTCTGATTTGGATTCTCTAGATTCTAAAGAGTTTCTTACAGGTTTCTAAAGTTGTGGCTTGCTATCTTAGTAAGACTTCCAACGAAGCATGCATGTAAACTGCACCAGGACGCAGCCAACAACATGTTCCTTTTGTATATCAACTGGTAGAACCACCATAAGCAATGCCATAAATATTATTACATTGCACTATACATTAATCAGTCAGAATGTAAGTTTGTTACATTAATCAATGTCAACTAGAGCTGAGCCAACAACAAATCCACCTCTGCTCACCAATAAAAGTTTTTTCACTTAGATGGAATTCTCTTCCAGACTTCCTTACTACAATTGACAACCAAATTGAATATTACTTGCTACTATTAACAACAAGTCTTGAATGTTGACTGAAATACCAACAACTGATCAACCTCCTGTTACCAGCGAAAAATACATATGTTTTCTCAAGCGACAAATATATGAACGTGTTACATATCATAAACAACTCACCTGCTTGTAATGTCGAACAACTCTACTCTTCTTTGGAGTTGAAAATAGAACCTTAGGTGTATGGTCAGACACTTGGCGAGGATCTTGCCCATAGATACGAAAAATTGGCCTGCATCCACCTTCTCCATCGAAGTTTGGGATTGTTCTAATAGTGACACAATCCATTGTGAGATCCCTGTCTAATGGGGGCCACTCTGTGGCGACGTTCCTTCTCGATATATACTGCAAGTATCTTAATTATGATGGCATGGGATTCACGGGGTACAGTAAGTGCAAAAGCTCACGAGGAGCTTGCCTGTACACCATATCCAAGGTCTTAAGCTCCCCACTACAATGCTTTCGATAGTATAAATTTATGTTCATTGTTCTTTGCTTTTTGTTGTTAGGTTGTTTCAAAGGCTAGTAGTCCGGCATAAAAAAGTACTCCATGTGATTATCGAACATCCACTGAGGCTGATAATGATTTGCAACTTCATTGTAATACATTAATATTATTTTTTGTATTTAAATGTGTGGACATTTATTATAAGTTGAAGTAGTTTCATTTTTAGGTAGTAAAAATAAATTAAAAAATAAGATATTTAATATTAATTTATAGGCCCCGTCTAGTCCCCGCCTAGGCGCTAGGGGCTGGTCGGGCGCCTAGCGACTTCTAGAACATTGATAACAAGTATATAAAAGGATCCTCTAACCCTAAACCTCACAATTCATTTTTCTGCCATAATCTCATTTTCTAATTTTACTTTTCTCTCTCTCTCTCTCAATGTTGCTCTTGTGATTGGTTGTAATAAATAGTATGGGTATATGATAAGGTTAATAAAGTTTCAACGATTAGTAACCAATAGTATTAATATTATTAGATGATTATTAGAATCATAAAATGTCCAACATACTAAACTATTCTTACAAATAAAGACTAGAGAAAGGCTATGGAGCCAATGGTTGACTCCTTTATGGAGTCAACCATCAATGTTATAGTGTCACGTAGGCCATGTGAAAAAATAATTAACTCTACATAGCCTACGTGGCACTATAACATTGGTGGTTGGCTCTATAAAAGAGCCAACCATTGACTCCATAACATTTTCATAAAGACTAATCAACACATACGAAAGTAATAATCTATCTCTCAAATATATTCACATTGAACATTGGCTCGGTTGATTTGAAAAACATTACTTTCTGAATAAAAAAATAATTTTAATAATAATAATATTATTATTATTATTATAATTTTAAATTGAAACAAGATATGTTTTATGTTGTTATGATATGCAACTATTTAAAAGAATTGAACGATATAAAATCACACTATAACTGATACAGCACGGATGATACCGACCTTTGAACACAATAATCCGACCATTCCACTTCAAGACAGTTCTCGAGAACAACTCTTCTAAAAAAGAAACAAATTCAGAAATATTATTATTATTAACATCTTGTTTTATCCATTTGTTTGTCTTCTTTTTGTAGTGGTTCTTTTCAATATGAATTCTCACTGCATGCTTGATTCCCGAATGGGGATTAATTCAATAGTTTCGATTTTGGGCTAATTATTTAGGACCACCTCTTTTTAGTTCAAACTTAGTAATTGAGCTAATGAGGACCACCTCAAAATTCGAGAGTACTCATCCCAACTGTTCTTAATTACTATTAGTCCAAACACTCGTGTAATACACGAGTGTTTCTTAAAAAATTATTCTTAATTTTAAAATTAATTAGGAAAATTATTTTAAATTTTAATTTATTTTTTGATAAAAAATATTTATTATTGTTTCTTTTAGAATAATACTTGTTACTTGTGCGATTTATATGTGTTATATTATAGTAAATTTTATAACTTATATCATATAACTACTTGAAATATAAATATATTAATTGTTAAATATTTTTGTTTTTCTAATTAATATTTAAAAATAATTTTATTATTGTTATAAAGATAAATATAATTTATTTTTTTTATACATACAATATGGATGTTAAATCGAAGTTCATCACGAGATGATTAATTTGATATATTATATATGTAAAACTGATAAAAAATACAAAATTTATTAACTTTTAAATACATTTACAATTCAATGTTATAATAGGAAATGATATTAAAATGCAATTAATACGTGTAAAATGACCATAAATAATCATATATTTATGGATAATCTGGACCTAATTATTTTTTGCTGTGAAGTAAATTAAAATCTACTCAAACCTAATAACAAAGCATGTAATTTCGCCATATAGGATCCCGAAGCATGCGAGTCTACCACTTAGGCTCAACACGTTTTGAATTAATATACAGAAGGATATGTGGGCTGTTTTCAGCTATCTTTGTGATTATTAATTTATTTTATAATAGGAAACTGTATATATTTTAGATAAATTCGCTTCATCGTTTTAAAATTGTTTGGTGGGTACAATTTGCTCGTCCATAGTTTATTAAGAAAAATACTTTATTGGTTTGGATGGATACATCTTTTTTTTTTTTTAAGCTCAAGTTTATTCCAACTGTTTATATTGAAAGCATTTTAGAAGACATTATTAGGACTTTTATTTCCAATCAACGTACCAACTAGTTTTGTCAGATATTATATTGATTTTTTGGCCATCAACTAGGGCTTTTTTTCCAGAACACTCTTAACTGAACTTTTATCTTTGAACATCTTCCAATGGTCTACCTATGCTGGCTCCTCTGACATACATAATAGATAAGGAGGCACCGTTTTAACAATTCCAAACATAGAGTTAAATTATTAGCAGATATGAATTTTGCTATTAAAGTTAATTATTAATTGTGAGCAAAATTTTATTCAAATTTTATTTTCTATTGAACTCATTTGGTGGTTTTATACAAAAAAAACAAAAAAAGAAAGAAAAAAAAAAAGAAAAAGAAAAGGCCCAACTATATTAGCTAGGTCTGGGACCAATCCAATTATTATCAACTATTTTTCTAAGAACCAGATAGAGAATGACAATGAAAAGGATCTGACTCCTTGAGTAACCATATTACAAGAATTCACGAACCATAATATAAAAGTGAAGAACCAAATAAGAGGGAGAGAAACAGGAACCAAAGCATATAACATGTATATTATTCATATATATTCGGTTACTATGTTAATACACATAAAATTAGAGAGTAGAAATCTAGAACTGGTTAGTGCCTAAAAGAGCCCAAAATATCAAGTTAAAATATATTAAAAAAACGAGGTTTTGCAGGTGCTCTTTACATCCTATATGCTCGACATTAAAAATTTGGTATCAGTTGCAAATTAAATTTAATTAACCCCAAAGGACACCCCGCTTCCTCGAGACCTATCATCTTCTTCTATAATATTCGCAAGACCTCTTTTTAGCAAATGGTGGTCCTAAATTCATTCACATGTACATTTTGTTTTGCGTTAAAAGAGTTTCGATTTCTAGACCTGTGGTCCTA